TTCCAGCCTTTTCTGACCGACCTATGGGTCCGACGGCGTGTATGATATACTTGGCCGGCAGTTTGAAGCCGGGCGATATCTTGGCGCTGCCCGTGTCGCAGCCGCCTAGCGTCCTGCAGTAGCGGTCGAGCTCGTCGCCGGCCGCGTTGTGGATGGCCCCGTCGACTCCGCCCCCGCCAAGCAAACTCCTGACATATGCGTGTGCGGCACACAGACAAGACATATACGACTGGCTACCTGGCTGTGTGCCCTTCCCTCGTTCCCTCCCTCCCTCCCTCCCTCTTACTGGTTGGCGTTGTTGACGATTGCATCGCACTTGAGGGTGGTAATGTCACCCTGCCACAGACCCACTCTGCGCAGCGGGCTCGTCTCGAGGTCGCTCTCCGCCGCACGTGTTGGGAAGTCCAGCACATCCACGCTGATTTCGACATTCTCTTCCTCAGCGGCGTCCTCTTCGACATCATCTGGCAGTTCGTCTCCCCAGTCAGTACGAACAAAGAATACGACTGACCGCCCTTCTTCATCTTCCACCTCGACCTGCCGCAATGGAATCGGAGCTCGCAATGGTTCCCCCTTTTCCTCCGAAAAGTCAGGTGTTAATGGCAGCGAGCCTCCGCCCCCCCGAGCAACGTTGATGAGCTCGATCGCATCGTTGCTCTGGACGTTGTAGTATTTCATGGTGTGGCCGTCTTCGAGCTCACAGCCGTGGAAGACCAACTGCTGGTTCTCAGATGAGATACCGGACCTGGCCTGGATGTCCCTCTTCACTCTCTCGGTCGTGTAGATGGGACTGACGTCCTCCAATGTCATCAACAGAACGCCTGTATTTACAAATCATACATCAACCAAGCCACAGACAGGGCAGGGGGGAAGTCCCCATTTCTTTCTGCCGTTGTCGGCCTCCCCCCCATTGCTCACCCACCTGTTTATCTTCGCTATGGCTGGTCTGGAGATCCACGAGCCTCTCGGACAGCATCCGCATCCGCGCGGCGCTCGGAGAGGCCGGACGGGCACTCGACACAGATGCTGCGCAGATCCCACCACAGATGTGGAGATGAATGAGGACTCAGCGGCGAGAGTGATCCAACGGTCGGCGAGAGCGTCTCTGTGGCGGCGACGAGATCAAGGACTCAGGACGGGAGACGACTCTGATGCAGACGGCGAGGCTCCGGCAGCGCAGCCAGCACCAGAGGCGACCGCCGCGGCTCCCTGTTGCTCATGCAACAGCAAAGGGAGCCCACGCGGAGGCCAGTGCAAGAACTGTGACTGCAGGAGGAACAACAGGACTCATCGGATGAGTGAGCGTGCCCTTTGTGCATAGGCATATGTGGATAGATTCATGGAGGCGATTTGGACAAGCGAGTGCATGGATGCCATCTGTCAATTATCTCTTCCCTGTATTTACAAATCAATTATGCGCAGAAAACAAGCGATACAACTACCTGTTTGCATCGCTTCTCACTCTCTCAGTGACTCACGAGTGGATGTCGTAATGAAGATTCGACCGGGCAGGGGGCTCCTGTAGCTGAAGATTCCTCTTGGATCCTCCTCTTGGATGGATTCCAACCCCGTGAAAACAAGCCCTACCACTCCTTCTTTCCCAACGCAACGAAACGTGATCCCGCTCGAGCAGCTGCAGCTGATCGTACCCGTGGCGCCGAATGAGGTAATACATGAGGTCTCCAGTTGCTTGAGTATGCTAGCATCACCCCTGAATTCCACCGTGGAAGGAGACCAACGCCCGCCGGTGTCCAAGCCAACCAGCTCGCCGGCGTTGCGATGCGGGACCTCCTGCCTGCGTACCGGCAGCTGACTGACAATCAGCAATTCCACATTGTCGACCGGTTGCAGAACAAGCGGTATGATGCCGTCACACTCTTCGACGTGCGCCCTCCAGAGCTTCACTTCATCGGCAGCATTGAGGAATACGTCAAGTGGGCTATGCTGCACTGTCGCACGATGTTGAGCCCGTCACGGTATTCTTTGAATGTTTGCTGGCGTCTGCAGGTGGTGCGCGGTCAGTTCGTCGACCAGGACACAAATCAACCAAGGCCTCCAAGAGGACGTTGCGGCTTCCCCCCTGCTGGATGGCGCACTGAATGTGGTGAAAATTCGTCGACGATACCTGCATGTGGCCATCACCGCCCACGAGCGGCTTCCAGCGCAGATTGTCCAAGATGGGGTGCAGCTGCTGCATCCCGTCCTTCACGAGCTCATCGAGCCCCTGGCAGCACTGGACGTGCAGTGGTGACGCCCTTCCTGAAGCCACCAAGAATCCTGCCACTGACTCGGCGTTCTTCCACCGTTTCGTCGAGTACGGCAAGCGGTCTTTCAGCAAGTTCGGCCAGCGGCTGGATACGATTGTCGTCATGTCGCATGTGGCACCCATGAATACGGGGCGCTTCCTCAACTATGTCCTTCTCATGCTGGGCCGGTTCGTCTGCGAGAAGGACCTGTTCTTTGCCGGCAACCTGCAGAAGGCCTTCTACCGTGCCCGGCTCGTCACATCGCTATCGTTCGCCGGTACACGATGGAGGTCCTGCGCTTCGAGCCCGCCAGCACCAAGTGAGTCGACTGGACAGCTGCGAGGACCACAGAAGCCCTGTGTGTGTCTGTGTGTGCGGATGTCTCCCCCCTCCGTCCTTACAGCATGTTCTGTCGCTACCATCAGTGATGTCCTTTTGCGCAACACCATCGCCTACCCCGGCACGCCACTGGTACGGCATAGGACACAACTGCAATAGTCCCAGCCGGCCCCACACCCCCCGATGACCAGAGGGGGGTGTGGCGGCCGGCTGGCTGGCTGGCTGCGTACTGCACGAGAGTGCGTCGCTCACTTCCTCCTTGTTCTTCTCGCGTGTGTCCCACCCTCAGATCGACACGACGACGCTGGCCTTGGCGAGGTCCGAGGCGGTGCAGGCCGCCATGGATGCGCGACGCAATCGGCTTCTCGACTTCCTCGAGACACATTTTATACGGCGGCCTTGCTCGCTACGCACGACACACGAGAACGGGCTGGTGTTGTGTTCTCTCGGTCTCGGTCTCTCTCTCTCTCTCTCTATCGGCTTGTCACTAACAGTTGTGTCGCGTGCTCGTGCCTGTCCTCTGTGTTAGCGGGCGACTGTATGTGCCACGGCAATAAATGCCAATGGGGTGTGCGACATTTTTTTGGTTGACCTCCGTTAACTGATGATGTGCGTTGCAATGATCGTACCCGGCCTGGCCCACGACTGGCACAAAGCACACAAAATTTCTCGCGAAACGCACGCAAACCGAACACCTCGAGATCCCCTTCCTCGTTCAGCAGGCATTACGCGACATGCAACATGCAACAAGCAACATGCAAGAGGGCAGAAGCAGCCAGGCAGATCTGCAATGGCGCTGCGAGAGATGGCAACATGTATGGCAGACACGCAATGTAGCATGCACGTCACCCCGACAAGTAGCCGGTCTGGGGCAGCCAACTGGCCGTTGACAAACCCCGGTGACGTGCGCATCACACTGCGTCGACAGTGCTCTCGAACACTCTGTGTCATTGCGTTGTGGCATTGCCGCCTTCAAAATTAGTGTGCTATGCCGCCTCCCATCGCTGCACCTCTAGACCTCGAGAAGGATAGTAAAGCTGTGTCGTACTCCCCTGTGATTTGTCCCTCTGTGCCAAAACCTTACAGATTTGCCACCCTGAGAGTTCGGCTGCTTTGTGCTGGTTATTGTCGTCTGGCCAGAGTCTTGTTTGGGTTCGGCGGCATCTGCATTGGTGCCTTCAGTCTAGCTTTGAGTCTGTCCATCAGCGTTTGCCATCGCTATTTGGTTCTGCACGGATGGATGCGTGTATTACAGATCTTTCTTCCAAGATTCCGTACTTCAAAAGTTTTAAGTAGATACATGAACGGGCGACGAACTTCGTCTAAGCATCGGTCGTATGAAACAAACAAAAGGGAACAATACATGTAAAGAACTATGGACAAACGCTCGTTGACTGCGAAAACATGTCGCACACTGCAAACAAGCGCGAGGCATGCAACACGACATACAATATCACGAAATCCAGGTCCAGCCAGCCACCTCACAGCCCCGGAGCGGGGCTGGTGTGGGGCATAGAAGGCCCGCGGCTGACGAAGTCCTCAGGAAACGCGCTGGCCCTCCGTGGCCCTCTGGCGGCCGCCGCGC